TGAGTGGTGCAATTTATAAAAAACTTTCGACGATTTATCTTTTACAGTTTGCCAATTCAGATCCAATTGGCCATGGGAAAGGTTTTTCTCTCCCTTTTCAATAAGACTGCCAACGTTTACGTGTTTTCCTGTCTGCTTTATTAATACATTGATCAGGACAGTGTTTCATTTAATTTCCTAAATGATCAATTAAGGTACATAAATGACACAAGCCTATCAGTTTGTTTAAAGGTGAATGTTGCTCCTGGGGTACATCAGAGGCTCAATCAAGTAAAGTGCATCAGGTGTGCCTCATGAAGTCCTGTTGGCAGGCAGGAGCTGGGCACTGATGGGATGTAGAAAGATAGGTAAGGCATTACTGCAGTTAATTACATTCTATAACATGAATGGTTATGGGTAGGGAGCAATAGATTGAATTGAAGGCAGGAACTTTTAGATGATGTATTAGTGGTATGTTCATTATTCTCTGGAATTGGAAATCTAGCTTGATGTATCTCGCCCTACACCCACCTGGACAGATGGTACGTTCCAGTTGTATAAACCTGATTCTTCTTTGTCATTGCCAAACGGTCTCATCTAACCTTTATAAGGTGACGGGACAACATCCTGAAACTTGAAAAACACCATATTTAAGTTGTTAAATTTCAAACAAATTTAAAGTCATATTGAATTTTGATGCCTTTAATTATTAATTATTTATTATTATTATTAATTATTTAATTATTGAATTGTATATCTGTGACAACCCTCTGGCTCACGCCACTTTGGATTAGAAGATTCTGCTCTATATACTACTCTAAAAATAACTGCTCCATAGCTACAGGTTCTCCTGATAAAGACATTGTTTTTCTCGTCCAAGGCTTTCTCAAAGTAACTTTCTAATCTAAATGTTTTAATGTAAACAGCCAAACGTAATCATTCTGCACCATGCATAATATATTTCAAAATCAAAAATGTTAACAAAGTATTTTGAATTCCAGAGTAAGACGGGCAATGGAAAACAAAATGAAACTTGTCAGGCCAACAGCACATAGCATCTTTTCTTCCAAACTGAAATACTGTCTGTGAACAGTATGTGGTTCAATACCAGATGTCAACAGGTCACATAAGGATGCTTTTTAAAGAAAGGATATCTATATTTGTATCATTCCAAAATAGCTTTGGTTACGTCCATTTATCATCAGTCCATTGCTCTTAATCCTGCCGAAGCCTCAGATTCTCTGAACAAGGATCAATGTTGAGCTTTCGTTATTTAGAAATGGCGCACTTAACCCATAGTTATAGAAACATGTGCCCAAGAGCCTGTTTTCTGCCAAATCAAGTATTTGATTGCATAACATATCTTGGAGCAAGCCTCAAATATAAGCAACTTGAATTTTTACCTTTTTCTTTTATCAGAATGGGACCATTTTAATTTGAGAAACTTGAATACAGTAGAAACATTATTACAGTCAACTTTAACCACATGTTACAGTTCATAATGCAGTATAAAAACTGTTTTGATCTTATTTACTTTCATACTAATGGGGCCATATTGCATAACAGCAGCAGTCCAAAAGTTCAAACCCTCTGATCTTTGCTTCCCATTTTATGTCTGAGGCTTGTGCCATCTGCCAAACAAGTCTTCATCAGAGCCTCATCAAGACTGATTGTGTTGTTGCATGTGGTCCTACAGCCTCAAGGAGAGCCACTGCAGCCTAACCATGTTAAGTTTTCAGATAGCATTTGGTTGTTCTTGAGGCCGACCTTTGGAGGAGCTTAATGGGAAGCTCTATGTGCGAAATGCAGAGCCGTGTGAATGTGAAGCAGGGTGGCTCTATTAAAAGCAGGGTGGTCTGTCTGCTTGACCTTGTGCGAGGTTTAAAATATACCTCCATCATTTTTAAATCACATCAGTGGGGAATTCCCACATTTTGACACAGACTGCAACAAATAGAAGTGAAAGTTCCCCAGAAACGGGATTATTTGCCATTAGAGAATCAAAGTAATCACACTGTAACATTTCATCATAACTTGACAGGTTAAACTGAGCAGTGTTTCATGTGTGATGTGCATAAATGCCACTGCTTGAGAATCATCCAGTATTGAAAGGCATCCAACTCCCTCTTTGCCTCAAGGGACCGCAGAGATGACTGCTGCTGAATGTCTGTGGCTTCACGGTGAGGAGCATCGCAACTACTGGGCCAAACACCCACATTCTCATCTGATGAAATTCAAGATTCATTACATGTGATAGGAGATCTAAGCAGACTAGATATTCAGTCACACATAAGGAACATAAGAAAGATGGTTTTTTTTGGATAGTTCATATTAAGAACTGCACAAATCAGGTTTGCACAACAACCGGTTTCTGCAAGGAGGAAAGACTTTCTCTTTCTGGACTGAATTATTGATAGGACACTTTTGCTACGACAATACATGTATTAGGCATCAACCAAAACACTTGAATAGTCGTGGCATTGATACAAAAGATATGTGATAGAAAAAAAGAACTGCTGCACTTTCTCTTTTTCACCACAAGATGTCAGACTGCTCTAACCAGCTCCCTCCTCTGTCTTTGCATAAGTTACTTGAGGGTTTTCAGGTGCCAAAATGTTTTGTTAGGTGTCACTTTTCCAGTAGTCCCTTTTAGGTCCCAAGGATGTCAGGTTCAGGTTGCTTTATTTGTACCCAAAGGTATAGTACAAAATCTAATAATCAGTTAACCAATAAAATAAATAAGCTAGAAATAGGAAACCTTAACCAAAGGTTCAACTGTTTTTTAAAAACTTTTTTCCAAGGTTCTATGGTTTCTTTATTGTGTTTTAGGGTTCCTGAGGATGTTTTAGGTTTTCAAGAGCTCCAGTAGTCCTGATGAACATGATCGGGGGTTCATGGGTTTCTTGGGGCAGACCACATTTTCTGATGGTGTTTTAGGGGTTCATTGAGACCTTTTTAAAGGAGACCTTGAACACTTCAAAATTTTATTAGTGCCCTGTCAAGGGTCTCCTGAAAACGAAACTTCAGCAACCACTTTCAGAAACACATGGACCACTAAAAGCAGCCTGCAACAGTTAATACCCCCTGGAAAGGATTTGTAAAGGGTCCTTGATGAGGTACCATGATAATAAAATGTAATGGAACTATGAATGGTATGTAATGTTGTTCTTCTGTTCCTAGTTGGGTAATGGTTGCAAAGTAACTTAAGGCCCCTAAGCGCTACCTTTTCTGAACATGGAAAGAAGTACAGGCATTAGGGCAAGAGTATACTTTTCTCTGCCAAGGGAAAATAAAATGAAAACTGTTTTTTACTGTTGTGAAAATAAGCTTTGTTCAACATGTCACACAGCTCTTTCTAATTAAGCTTAGATTTCTTTAAATGCTGATGTCAGCGCCCGGTGTTTTTGCTAACTTTATCAGCACTATCCTCCCCTGGCCATCAAACGATGTTTCTGTGCCTCCTTTATCTGGCAAATTGGTAGGATCAGAAAAAAGCTCCTCAAACATGAGGTGTCTTGGCTGCCATGGCAACAGGATTTTCCCCCGGATGGAGGCAAGGGCACTGTTGCCGTGGGTGATGTCAGCTAAGCCCTGAATTCACAGCGCGAGGAACCTGAGACAGAAGGGGACAGTGTGTGTGTGTGTGTGTGTGTGTGTGTGTGTGTGTGTGTGTGTGTGTGTGTGTGTGTGTGTGTGTGTGTGTGTGTGTGTGTGTGTGTGTGTGTGTGTGTGTGTGTGTGTGTGTGTGTGTGTGTGTGTGTGTGTGTGTGTGTGTGTTGTGTGTGTGTGTGTGTGTGTGTGTGTGTGTGTGTGTGTGTGTGTGTGTGTGTGTGTGTGTGTGTGTGTGTGTGTGTGTGTGTGTGTGTGTGTGTGTGTGTGTGTGTGTGTGGGTGTGTGTGTGTGTGTGTGGGTGTGTGTGTGTGTGTGTGTTGTGTGTGGTGTGTGTGTGTGTGTGTGTGTGTGTGTGTGTGTGTGTGTGTGTGTGTGTGTGTGTGTGTGTGTGTGTGTGTGTGTGTGTGTGTGTGTGTGTGACAAATATTGGCAGCGGGACATGCACCGGTGACAGGCATTGGACATAATCCCTCTTCTGATCTCAGATTTACCCATGTGTCCTCGGGTGTGCTTTGCATACATGTATGTGTGTTTAGTGCATACATGTGGTGTGTGTGCAGTGCATACATGAATGTGTGTGGCTGCGTCTGTATCAATGTGTGATGGTGCGAGGACATGAGCAGCAGCCTTTGGAATGCTCTTGCAGAGTTTAAAGTAGGGGCGTCTAATATTCACTCTCCTTTATGGCGCGCTCTCTCGAAAAATGTCACACCGTATTAAGTTCATATTTCACCACCGCTAGATTCTCTACCTGGATTTCTCTTAGAGTTGGACGTGTGAAATTAGATGTCATCTAATCTGAGCGATACAGTTTCAAAAGTCTGCAGTCTGAGAAAGAAAAAAGATATAATGCACAATTAGGTGCAAACCAAAAGTCTGCTTTGGACATAGTCACTATTTTTTCTTTGCTCTTTCCTGATGTTCATTGCCTTTCTTTTAAAGCATTGAAGACTGACTTGCTGTCATGGAATGTGGGAAGACGGGTTGTGTTTGTTGTGTGAGAGATGCTAAGAAAGCAGCATCCGGAGGGGGGTTGGTGGTTTTAACAGTAAAGAGTAGGAGTGCCGACTAGGCAGGGAGTCTGCGTTTTTGTTCCAGGGTTGGGTTCATATGAGCAGCAGCTGGAGTGGACAGTTTTAATGAGTAGAGTCAACACAGTGCAGAGCCTTGACTCTGTTTTCCCTCCCGTATCTCTGTCCAGATCCGACCTTTAACCTTAACATAATAAGGTGTCCACTCAACCTTGTTTAGTTGCGTGGAGGGTGATAAGTTCACAGCATTGCCGATCCCTCAAAGACACCTGAACATCTGGAAGAACTGGATGTGCACTTTGTTGAATGAGATTTTGCCTGAAGTCACTGTTGTCCTTGCTCACCTATTTATGCAAATATGTGTTTTTGTGTATGCAGAATGTCAGCCAGGCTTCTTCAAAGACGCACCATCCAGTGACAAGTGTGAGCAGTGTCCTGCCAACACCCAGAGGCTGGACCCTGGGGCTTTGTTTTGTCCCTGCATGGATGGCTTCTACCGTGCTCCCAGTGACCCCCCTACTGGACCCTGCTCAGGTAACAAGCCCCTTGATCTCGAATGAGAACTTTGAAATAAGTACTTTTAGGAATATTCGCTTCCATTTTGAGACTAAATAATGTAACTGTCATGTCAAAAGTAATCCCCCACACTTCCCTGTTTTTCGTCTTCCCTGCTTCTATTAAACATCTCGTCTGTTTTTCCAATCTTTGTTCATCAGGCCTCCCCTCCGCACCACAAGACCTCATATCCACCACCACCCAGCTCTCGGCTGGAAAACTCCTCCTCTCATGGAGCCCGCCTGAAGACACCGGTGGTCGAACCGACATCACCTACAGCGTTGAATGCCAGCGCTGCGAGGGCATTGTGTGCCAGGCCTGTGGAGAGAAAATCCGCTACGAGCCGGCCAACACCGGCCTGACCCAAACCAAAGTATCCGTGAGCGAGTTGGACGCTCACCCTCAATTACACCTTTACTGTGGAGGCACATAGCGGTGGTGTCGCTGTTCGCGAGTCAGGCATCTCCGCGGGCTTTTAGACCGCCATCTACCAGCGCTCTGACTACATCCCTGCACTACACAGGTGAGTGCTGCTGATATGAGGCAGTGGAGTGATGCTATCTGTGCTGCAGTAATGGCAGATGCTATCTCTGAGGCAGTGACAGCTCTGCATGTAAATTTGTGCTGCAAGACTTCTACCAGCTTGTCCCTTTCCTGGGATGTTACACCCCGGCCTCGGGCCCTACCCCCTCCCATCCGCTATGAACTGACCTACCGCAAGAAGGTGAGTTCCTCTTGTTAATTTTCTGAAATACACATAGACAGGAGTAATTAATCTGTATCTTCAACATAAACCATCTTTGTTGACTATATCTCCCCAATTTCCCTTTTTCAGGATGATAACCTGGATGTTACTACCTACATTGTGCTCCTCCTGGAGAAGAATTCTGTGCAGATCATGGATCTTCACAGCATTGCCGATCCCTCAAAGACACCTGAACATCTGGAAGAACTGGATGTGCACTTTGTTGAATGAGATTTTGCCTGAAGTCACTGTTGTCCTTGCTCACCTATCTTATGCAAATATGTGTTTTTGTGTATGCAGAATGTCAGCCAGGCTTCTTCAAAGACGCACCATCCATGTGTTCTGCTTTATCGAGTAGGCTACATTTCCTCATTTCAAACAGATTTGACGAAATCTGTCAAAACTGAAACAACTAATCGCTATAAACTAAAACTCACTTTTCACATGTGGAAACCTGTACTTTGACAGTGGAAAAGCTGGAACAATATATTTTGTACACACTGAAATCTTCACTTTTGACATCAATAGTAAGTAATCTTTGAGTTTATCCATCACCGTAAGTAACATATGTCACAAAACAAATGTTTGTGTTTCTTTGAGGAGAGAATCTAAGTCTATCACTTCTTAGCCATGAAATGCCAGGATTCCATTTTTTTTAACCACGTGTATAGATAGTTAGACAGATAGATAGACAGATAAGTAAGTAGATGGATTCAGTAGAAATATACATTTGATTGATAGAAACAGTTGATAGATAGATACAACAATTTTAACTTTAATATAACACTGCCAAGTAGTACTCTGTGCATTAGTAGCAGCAAGTTAACATTGTTGTATAGCATGGTGCCTACAATTGAATTTGAATATTAAACATGTAGCTTCACCATCAAGCCCTCTATCCACAGTGAGATTGTCCTATATATAGTAGAGGGAATAGAGAGGGAGGAGAATAGAAAACAAATAGATGGGTGGAGATTCAAAGTCGTCAGCAAACATGCATTCATGTATTCTCCCCTATTTCTCTCTCTCTTTCTCTCCCCTCCCCACACTTTGTCACTCTCTCCTCCTATACAGAAAAGTCAGCCAATGCATCAGCCTGCCGCTCATCTGCTCTCACTCCCCCCAGCCTCAGATCCTCTCTGCTCCTCCGCTGACTGACACTGCCGATACCTCTCTCTCTCTTCCCTTCCTTCCTCCCCTTTATTCATCCCTCTCACCTCCTCATCCTCAAGCCACCATGGTGAACGGATAACCTCCCAGCCGTCCTGACACCATGGGTGCCTGCCTCTGCAAAGGTCACAAAGGTCAGTCCACCTGTTGTATGTGTGTCCCAAGTCTATGTGTCTGTCTGTTCTGATCATCATGCAGGAAGTGTTGATAGCATTCTGAAAACATTTGAGGAGAAGTTACATTATGCTTTCAAGGGGTAGCTCTGAAAATCTGAATAATTAAAGTAACAAGAACCCTGAGGTGTCAACAACCACCATTTCTTTTTAAATGCAAGTGTCTGCAGGATGAAACATTTAACCATACATTGAAGAATTCAGCCAAAAAGCTTGTTTTCATCAGTTTTTATTTGTGCAGCTTTTTTTGATCAAAGTGCAGAGATTGCTTTAGGAATTAGACTTGAGGAAGGGGGGGGGGGGGGGGGGTGTGAGGTTGATAATAGGGATTGTGGGGATCAGCGGAAGACAACAGTAGCTTTAGGATGTGATGGCTCCATCCGACGCTCATCTCCAACTTGTCGTGACTTGAAAATGCAACCTGGCTCTTATTTGTCCTTGCTCTAGGTGGAAATATATTAGTGTTTGTTTTCCGGATAAAAAAACAGCAGGGTGCCTCTCAGGAATAACACTAACATGTATTTGTGTCCTCAAAGGATCTAATAAAACAAAAAACATAGTTTTAAGTGTACCAGCTGTCTGATATACCTTAGTGTGTGGGTGTTTAACATTCATGTCACATTCTCATACATTTAGCTTAGCCTGTGATGTTTTTCTCACCTTATTTTGTCTGCTAAAGACTGCTTTTGTTCAGGAAAGGTTCTGATTCAAACCATTTAGAGGGTGATGAGAGCAATGCTTTCAAGCTGGGAGGACAGAGGGAAAGCAGCTGTCAGACAGACAGCTGAGAGAACAGCAGGAGTGTGTGTGAGTATGTTCATGGTTCAGGAATCATGATGGTTTTCTTGACCTGCTAATATCATTCGATAAGACCAGAGACCAGATCGTGACATGGCCATTTCTACTGATCATAATTCCATTGTTGAGGTCTACTAGAATAGATTTACATTGTTCAATGTTCCAAACTCACATTGGTTTCTCATAGAGCATCTCTGTATAGGATGTGTATTCACTCTCTGTCCTAAACGGCTTGTTGGAACTCCTGCACCCCCCTACCTGTGAGCCCACTGTGTTCTGATTGGTCCACCACCGTTACAGCGGAACATCAGGGATTATGTGTTACAATGGCGTTAGTTAGCAACCAGGAAATGACACACCAGTAATGACAAACAGATGAGAATGCTGGCGTGGGGTCTGGGTGCCGTGTTGGCGGGACGTTGCCGGGGCTCGCTGCTGCACCCTTTGAGGCTCGAGGAACGGACAGTGTGAGCTGGATTACTGGTGTCGTTTCCTGGTTGCTGCGTGGGGTCTGCGAGATAGCGAGACACCACAGAGCTCAGCCTGCGCACACACATACACTCACAGCCAGGCTGTTCGCCACACAGTTCGCCACACACTCACAGCCTGAGAAAAGATAAGGCTGAGTGAGTGTGTGTGTGAGGAGCTCCACTGATTGGTTCATTTGGACCGGGCATGGTTACGTCACCATACTCAGGAAAAAGAAAGATCTCCAACGAGGCGTTCTGGGGCAGCATAGACAGGTTATTTTCTGTGTTAGAGTTTTACTCGCTACAGGGTGTACTTTGAGGGTTTGTGACAGACCGTTCACAAGCAGAAAAAGCTACATAACACACAAGGGGACGGGTAATAACCAGAAAGCATGACATGGGACCTTTAAGTAAATGGAGGGCTATCAGTCGCCTTCTGTTTGCTGTCGCGTTTCCATAGTGACAGCCAATTGTCTTGACGACACATCCCAGGGGAAACCCCAGGCGTGTGTTTGTATTCCTGCATGTAAATGTGTGTGTGTGTGTGTCTGTCAACTGACCTGTCTAATGATGTTAACTCTTCTTCCCTCTGAGCCTACGCTTCATTTCCTCTTGTCATTAATTTGGACCTCATCACCATCAATTAAAAATCAAATAAACGGAGAGGCTTCAGTTGTCTATTTGTCTCTCATCCATTAGATATGAGCCTCGCTTGACCCCTGGCCATTAGAGACAACTGGGTTTGACTTTAAAGACTCCGAGACACACTTAACGACACAGTTAGAACACGGATCTAACACAAGCGTGTGTGTGTGTTTGCAGAGCTCCACTATCCCATGACGGTTCGGCAGGATCAGACTGTGGAGGGTCAGCCATCATCTGTCGAGGTGAGTCACATTTACTGTAGATAGATTTTTGCAGATTTAAACAGAAAGCTACACATTTTGGCTTTTACATTCTCCAAGCCCCAGAGTTATAACAGTTTTAAAGGGGCCCTATGATGCACATTTTCAGGTTAATTTCTTATTTTGTGCCTCTACTGTGACATGTTTACATGATTTAATGTTTGAAAAGCTCTTTATTTTTCTCATACTGCCTGTGCTGCAGCACTTCTTTTCACCCTCTGTCTGAAACCAGAGCCCAGTCTGCTCTGATTGGTTAACCGCGTAAAGATGTCCCGTCCCTTAGCCCATCACTTACGATGTGTTTAAGAGTTAGCCAATAGAAGCGATTGTGTTACGTAGTGATGTCATGGAAGTAAACAAAGGAGTCCTATCGCAATGTTTAAGGTAGGGGGGAGAGTGTGGGAGAGAAACTCCCTTTATCGTGAACTTTGAGATTTTAGCCTTTGGACAAAAATCTATATAACACACAAAGCATAGTAGGGCCTCTTAGAATAGCTATTTTCGAGAAAAAATATAGTCCCTAAAAAACTCTGATGCTGAGTTCTGTGAACTATGCAGAGTAATGGGTTGGCAATTAAAAAAAAACTACAAACGCTTTAATGTTTTTTAAAAAGACATCTATTAAAGGTAATGTGTGTGCTTTGGATGGCTGTGGTCGGGTCGAAACAAAATGTTAGTTGGTTCAAATAATACAAGCTATCTCAGATCAACTTATCATGTAAAAATGATTGCAAAACCAATATCGATGCATTATATCCACAGCTGATAGGGAACAAATGTGCATAAACATATATGAAATAACTAACTCAAAAAGAATACATGTAAAGATTATAGTTCTAGATTATAAATCAAATGTACAGATGTTGGAGAGAATGTGGTGAGCAGATCATAAAACACAGTCATATTTTGGTCATGTAAAGCTATTAGTGGTTTCTGGGAACATTTTATGTAGAGAACTGAAATAACTTGTTTTTCTCTCCAATAATCCTTGACTACAGTACACTATTATATAAACTCCATTCATTTAAATTGTGTTGGGGTAGAGGAAGAAACTTGCACAAACAATATCTCAAATCTGGGAAAATAAAACTAAATGACTAATTCCATTAGAGAAAATATGTTTCTCTGTGATAAGGATGAACTAACCCTTTCAGTGTTTGCCTGCACAGTTCTACTGATCGAGTGAAAGTGAAAGTATCAGAATGATCACATTATGGGCCTGCATAAAGGATATGAAATTATTTTAACACAAACAGCATGGCTCAGATTAACTTGCTATTTAGATGATTATCTGCTTATTAATGAACATGTTTACTGTACAGTGAGATGAATGCAGCTGTTTGGCTCTATTTTACGGTGTATATCTTTTTAACAAACAACATGTTGAGTCTGTTCCTCAGCCCGGCACCAGCACAATCCCCATGCTTGTTTCTGGAGTGAAATTACCAAGATTATGCTTTTTCTCTATATTTGTCTATTCACAATAGTAACATCACTAGAATTCTACAAAATATTTAATATTGAACTTTTTATCCTTGTTACTTTAGGGTAAATTTGTATTTACAGTTGACTAACATTTACCATAATTTGTACTTTTACCGTGCTTCGCTACATGTTAGCTAATGTCATGTAGTTTATGTAGGCCTAAATCCTTCACAATTCTAGTGTCTCCATAAGTATTGAATCAGATACTGGTCATATGCAGTGGCGGACTTGCCATCGGGACGAATCCCGATGGGCCGGTACTGAAGTGGGTCGGTCGGACGATGTGGGCCGGTCGGATAAGTCACTAGAACCCCCCCCCGTTGACAATTTACTAGTGGTATTTACTTGCGGTACCGAGGTGGGCCAGTCTGATAAGTCACTAGCATCCACCCCCCCGCCCCGTTGACAATTTACTAGCGGTAACGAAGTGGGCCGATCGAGAGTCCCGGGCTGATTTTTAGCCCCTGGTCAGATGTATATGGTTCTTGTATAAAATGATTTATTGTAAGTAAAGAAGAACTAACAAAACAGTAATTGTTTGAATTTACAAGTTTGATGTCAATCTACCTGTAGCTCATATTGCTAGCTAGCTGGGAAGCTACTAGCAAAAGAAACTATAGGTTACTTACGTAACCCCAGTTCTCAGAGTAACATGAAGTGAGATGTCTCACTATGGGATGCGCCTCATCGCGGAGCAAACAGAAGCATCAATCTCATTACGCCAATCCTGATTGGCTGGTGATCTTGACGTCAACGTCAGGGAATCACCCCCTATAAGTAGCTTGCGCCACGACGCATGCGTCATTCAAAATAAGCACCTCTTCTCGTTTCACCATAGCAAGGAGGGCCGTCTGGTGAGACATCTCACTTCATGTTACTCTGAGAACTGGGGTTACGTAAGTAACCTATAGTTCTCATTTATAACACTCCGTTCGATGTCTCACTATGGGAAATTGTAGCTCCCGTATTGCCAGACGAGCTTATCTCGAAAATCACCAACCAACCAGAACTTAACAGGTAGAGTCCCGACTCAACAAGGTGCCCAGCACTGCTCGGGCCACGCTTGGAGCGGAGACGTCTAGCCTGTAAAAGCGGACAAAAGTGAGCGGCGAGGACCAGCTCGCCGCTGCACAGATGTCTTGGATGGAAACACCCTTGAACAAAGCCCAGGATGTAGCCAGGCCCCAAGTCGAGTGAGCCCGCAGACCCGAAGGTGCTTGCAAACTCTGACTCGTATAGGCCAAAGCAATTGCCTCCACAATCCAGTGGGAGAGCCGTTGCTTAGTAACAGGCTTGCCCTTGTGAGGGTTAGCCCAGGACACAAAGAGTTGGTCATTAAGACGAAGCTCCTTTGATCTGTCCATATATGTGCGTAGAGCACGGACTGGACACAACCGATCCTGCTGCTGTTCCCCGGAGGAAACCAGCGGCGGAGGAAATGCCTCAATGTCAATTGGGGTACACGAACCAACTACCTTTGGTGTAAAGGCAGGGTTGGGCTTCAACAACACTCTCGTTTGCCCTGGGGCGAACTGAGTGCATGAAGGATGTACAGACAGCGCATGAATATCACTGACCCGCTTGGCGGATGCCAGGGCCAGTAACAGCACTGTCTTGAGTGACAGATGTTTCATGTCAGCTCCTTCCAGGGGTTCAAATGGGGTCATTCTGAGCCCATTTAAAACCACTGCCAAGTCCCATAAGGGCACCAGTGACCTGGAGACAGGGAGGAGCCTGCGAGCTCCCTTCATAAAACGGCAGACCAAAGATGTTGGCTAGCCGTCTTACCCTCAAAGCCCACATGGCATGCAGCAATAGCAGCCAGGTACACCTTGATCGTGGAGAAAGCTCTGTGTTTATCGATCAAGTCCTGTAGAAATTATAAAATCACCCCGACAGGACATTGAAAGGAGATGTGTCCTTCTTGAAGGCACCACTCCTCAAACACCCTCCACTTACTGTCATAAAGAGACCTGGTGGAGGAAGCTCTCGCACTCTGAATAGTGTTTATCACCTTCTGAGGGAGTCCCACTGTATTCAGATTGTACCACTCACGGGTCAGGCCCATAGTGCCCTGCGCTCTGGGCGTGGGTGAAGGATCGCCCCCCCCGCCTGAGACAATCTGTCCCTGCGTAGAGGGGGCTGCCATGGCTGCCCGCACAACAGCTGATATATCTCCGCCAGCCCGTACGTTGCGGGCTAGGGCGGAGTTGGGGGTATCCGAGCCAGGGGTGGGAACGCGTACAGAAGACCCGGAGGTCAATCGTGTACGAGTGCGTCCACGCCTAACGGTGCGTTATATCGTGCATTAAAGAGAACAGCTGTCATTGTGCATTTTCTCTTTATGCGAACAGATTTAACGCGGCTCTGCCGTAACGCACCCACAGCGGACTCACGATCCTTGGATGTGGAGTCCAGTCTGCATAGAGTGGTGCACCTCTGGACAGTAGTTCTGTCCCAAGGTACATCACTCCTGGTACAGGCAGAAAGCGTTTTAGGGTGGGGAACACCGCTAAAAGCTCCGGGTGATTTACGTGCGCCCGCTGGAGGTCTCTGCTCCAGAGACCCCTCACCGGGCGACCTTCGTAAATACCCTATCAGCCTGTCAGACATGCGTCCGTGGTGACCACCTTCCGTGAAAGGACAGCACCCGTAGGCGCGCCCCATACTAGAAAAGTCGGGTGCGGCCAGTGGCGTAGTGCCACTACGCATTTCATAATAACCAATACTCTCCGCACGCCGTGGCGCGCGGGGTTTAGTTTTATTATGAGACCCATGTTGAGCAGGTGCTTTACGAGGACATTTGTCTGCGTAATCTGACTCTGCTCGGCGGGCATTATAGATAAAACCCTCCTTTCTAGGAGAGAGAGAATCTCTCTCTCCAGAATATGGGTTGACTCTCCCCGGGCTTGTGAATACAGATAGCCCGAGAAGCGAGGGGGGGTGACGGTGACTTGGAGTCTGTAGCTCCGTGTAACTGTCTTGAGAAACCCAAGCAGATGTCGTGAGCATCTCCCGCTGCTCCTTAGAGCCAGCTGAGATGTCACGTCTCTTCCCCTCTGAGTCTCTATTTGTTGTGTTATGGGGCC